TAGGAATTTGTTTTTTAGCTTCTTACTATCCTGTCTCACTATGGTTCTGCACTCCATGCAAGTGAACTGTTGCAATGTTCCAGAATGTTCAGTGATAGGAGGCTGCTGGGCCCAGAGCTCAGGAGGACATCAAGGGGCTGCATACCTCTGCTAATTACACTACGGTCAAGTTCATCATCCAGATGGATTTCGAGGCGTCCAATGTACAATGGTACCTAGGTTCTTGTCAGCTTCAGAACTTGTCAAACCTGGTACTGAATAGAGTAATTACAACTGATGGGTTCCTAGAAATGATTTACAGGAAACTCCTATTGATGATGTAACCAAATTAAATTTGGTTACAGAGGGATCTCATCTGAAGGATGAACAGGGACATTACTGAGAGGGATATGCAGTAACTTCCCTGGTGGACACAATTGAGAGCTCTCAGCAACTGGAAGTAAAACTTGCCTGGGAAGCTGAACTCATTGCTCTAACTGGGGCTTGCCACCTGTCCAAAGGTCAGTGGCCAATGTTTACACTGAGAATTGTGTGCACTTGGTGTAGCCATGACTGTGGGATGATATGGAAATAGAGAGGCCTCTTTACTACCTCAGAGCAGCCAATATACATGGAAAACTGGTTGCAGTATTATTAGATTCTGCACAGGAACCAAAAACAATAGGTAACTATCAAAAACTCCAGGGCATTCTAAAGCTGCCACCATGGGAGTGAAAGGAAGTCATTTTGCCGACAGTGAAACTAGACAAGCAACATTGAACAAAAAAATTATCCAGACCCAAGAATGTACCTTCTTTGTATTAAGTGAATAAAAAATTATCTTTTACAGTTTCAACAGACAGCTAAGGAGGGAGAAAATAGAATATGCAAGAAAAAGGGGGAAACTTTGACCCAGGCAGAGAGAGGTGGCTTGGACGCAATCAGAACCTGTCTTACCTGTAGGGGCCCAACTCCCTGCACTTGAACCTGTACATGAGCCACCACACTGGGGTCCTGGAAAGGTGGTTTCATGGAGTGAACAATGTCACTGGAGACCTTCTCCTGCTGTAGCTCATGAAAAGTATAGCAGACATCCTGTCTGTCCAAAGTGCAGCCCGGGAACCCACTCCCTGGGTCCCAGGGACATCTCCCACTTCCTGTGGGTCCATGTGAGGATTGGCAATTCATCACATGTCACCGTGTCAGGGACACAAATGTACATGAGTGATGACTTGTGTGTTTCCTCACTGGGTTGAGGCATTGCCTTTCAGGAGAGTGGCAGCCTTAATGACTGGCAATTCTTGTTAGAAAGAATAACTCCCCATTGCAGAGTTCCCTCTGAGTGACATCATGACTGAGGACTCATTTCACTGGATAAGCCAAAAAATCGGTCTGGAACCTTCGGCCCCTTCTGCAGAACTTTCATGTGCCCCTCACCCCTGCCCTCTGGACTGGGGGACGCACCAATGGGACATCAAAATTCAACTGGACAGAACTTCAGAAGCCTTCACTCTGCCCTGGACAGAAGCTCTCCCTAGAGTGCAACTCAACCCGAGAGCCACGCCCTTTGGTGAACATGAACCTTCTCCTTCAGGATTGGTCTCTGGCCTCCCTGTGCATCTGGATGAAGGGGCCTATGAACCAATTTTGCTTAAAGGAGACATTCTACATCACTGTTGAGGGATGATTAACCAGCTTAAAGAAACTGATAAATTGGTAACCCATTCATTGCACACTGCACTTCTGGGAGACACGGTTTTCAAGGATCGTGGCTTACAACCAGGAGATTTAGTCTCTTAGAAAAGACATCAAATCAAGGACTCTCTGCAACCTCATTGGAGGCATCTTACCAGGTACTTAACTAACCCATGTGCAGCCCAACTCAAAGGAGTTAACTCATGGGATTCCTTTTGTTTTCAAGTTTGCCATCCAGCATGGATTTTAAGGCCTCCACTGTGCCAGGATTAATTAGAGTTTGGAGACAGAATGCACAGCCAGAGTAGGACCCTGGCTCTGTTACTCTGGCACTGTTGTGGGGCAGATGGGCCATTAGGAGAAATGACAAACAGAAATGTAATCATGACCCAGTGCTGTGAGGGAAAGTTTCCTGATATCACAGAAGCAGATAACCAGGAGACATACGGGTCTCCTTCCTGTGGTCTCACTATTATCTGGAAGACATATAAGATAATGGCATCTGAAAGAGAACAATTATACACAATCATAGAACAGGAAAGATCTCTTGGAAATTAAAAATACCATCATAGAAATTAATAAATCAGTAGGTGACCTGGAAGATTTAAGCTGTTCTCCTACTGAGTCATACAAATGGAAAAATGTGTGTGAGCTGGAGAAAAGACCTATTAGTCTGTCAGTCATAAGATTACAGCAAGTTAAAAATGAGAGTTTTAAAACAATATAAAAAATAAAAATAAATTTATGATGAGTAGGAAATGATTTAAAATTTTTCCAAGAGTATTTCTTAAAGTTTACAGATAAAAACTTACATTTTTGAATGGCTTAATCACATGCTTCTACAGCAGATAAAAACAGACCCACCCTGGGACACATCACGATGGAATTTCAGGAAGAGGGTGGGAGAGACCTTGAAAACTTCAAGAGGCAGCAAATATGAACCTGGAGACTAGAAGATGTTGTTGCAATGCCTTCCAATTTCTGAAGAAAAAAAATATTTCCAACACAGAGTACCACATCAAGTCAAGATGTGAATAAGGGCAAGGATAGCCTACAGTTTCTTCACATGTTTAGAGTTTTCATAGTTAGCTTTTCACATTCCCTTTGGAAAATACTACCAGGCAAAGTGGGAAGAATGAGGAAGTAAACCAAAAAAGAGGAACACATGGGATCCAGGTGATAGGGGATCCAGAACAGGAGAGGCCAGGGCTACCCAAGATGAGGTACAGAACACCCAGGGTGTCTGTCTAGCTTCTGGTATGCAGGGACCCAGACCACCTGTGGCAGGACCGAGGGCTGTGGACAGGTGTCTTCAGAGATGAAAATGGTTGGAAACTGGATGTGTTCAAATGCATAATCAGGAAGATGTAGAATCTGGGGAGAGCAGTGGAATGAACGTGTAAAACCTGACTGACCAACCCCATGGCTGACATTGAACCAGATGCAATGACCAACCACCCCCTACCCTAGTGCTGACCAATCAATGGAGACCTCGACCCTAAGTCCCTCAGTCCCCCATGCAACCATCCCCTAGAAGCCATCAGAGATCCAGGTCTGAGAGCAACAAATCACCTGTGACTCCAGGTTTGGTGCCACTGACTTAAATAAACATTTACTTTCTTTTTATTTCTTTTTTTTTAAAGGACATTATTTTTTCATTGCTTACAGAAAAAGAGGAGGGAAGAGAGAAAAACATTGATGTGAAAGAAAAACATGAATTTAGTTCCTTCCATAGGCACCCAGACCAGGGATCATATGCACAACCTAGGTATGAGCTCTGACCAGGGATCTACTTGCAACCTTTCATTTACAGGACGATGCTCCAACCAACTGAGCCACACCTGCCAGGGCTAAACCTTTAGTTTCTTTGTGGCAAACTCCCGTTTGCATTTGATTGGGCTTTAATGTGCACAGGTGAATGAACGAACCCCTTTAGTTTAGCAATATTTGTCATTTATAACTTTTAACATTTTATCATTTTTGTAGTGAATATACATTCATCATATAAATTGCAGATTATCTATATCCACATAATTAATTTAAAAAGCTTTGTTTACAACTAGAGAGGGGAAAGCAGATGAGTAGGAAAGTCAAGAGCTCAGCCCAGGGCTGACAGTGCTGGGCTCCATGTCTGGACTCTGGGCAGTGAACTTACACACCTTCCCCCACTCCTCACTCAGGGCACTGCCCTCTGTGGAGGGCAAGCAGGGTCTTTCCCTTCTTTTGGGTGTGGTCATTAGTATCTCATCAACTCTTTGTTGCTTTGAAGAAGTTGGTTTTTGTACTACACATGGCATTTTGAGCTATTTTCTGAAATGGGAGGATTTGTCCATAGAATCCAGCCAAGTTTTTCAGGAATGGAATTTCTAAGACAAAAACGGTTGGTCCCAGAGAGAGGATCAGAATCTGAATGTTAAATTGTGATGTGAGGATGGTCTGTCAGGAGTTTTATAAGTGAAGGGATTTTATGTAATTTGTTCTTTGCAAACATTATTCATGCACATACAGGAGCATTCAAAAGACACTCAGGAATACACAAAATAAATGAGACACATTGTCCTCCTCCTTCCTCAGTCACCTAAGTCCTTTCCCAGGAAACATTCACAGTGAGTCACTTCTCATTTCTCCTCCCAGGAAAATCTACCTGTGCATTAATGTCGCTGTTATGTGTATAAAAAGAGCTCAGGCCACAGTCTGGGAGAAAATGTTTGCAATTCAGTTCTTTTAGAATATACATAAGAACCCTCGAACTCAACAATAAGGAAGCAATAACTCAGTAAAAATTATCAAAATTCTAAACAGACTAACCCACAAAAGAATTTACGCCTACCTTGTCTAGGTGGTTTAGTTGGTTACAGGGTCATCCCAAGAACCAGAATATTGTGGGTTTGATCCCTGGTCAGAGTGCCTAGGGGAGGCAAATTGACTCTCTCCCTCACACACACGCTCTCTTTCTCTCAAGTAAATGAACATACCTTTGGGTGATCATTTTTTAAGGCTTACCATAGGACAGTATGCCTTGCTGTGGCTGCAGCAGCCTCATATGCGTGTTTATTGGGTGTCCTGATGTTGTCATTTTCTGTTGTGGTGATTTAAACCCAACTTGGTTTGTACAATAAGTGAGTGCAGGCTTGCAGCCCAGAAGCAACAGGCTGAGCCCTGCAGTCAGGGTGAGCAGTAGGGAGACCATCCAGGTGTGAGAGCCTCTGTGCTGTTCACACAACCACAACACCGCACAACCACACTCTTCTCAGGGTGGATCACCACCATTAGGCGGCACATGAGTGAATATAAGTGCATCAAATAAACACACTGGGCACCTTACACTTACACAAGGTTGTGTGTCAACTATATTTGAATTTAAAAATAAAGGTCATGGTCGATTTTATGTACAACATTGGCATTCAGTGAAAGATCACTAAACAGTGTAACTAAGAATATTATAAACACAGACACCCACAGATTAGATAGTCAAGGGTCACTTCCAACAGTTCATGACCCCTGCAGCTCTAGGATCCCTGAGCATCTGCAGTGAGGGGTGAAGGGCAGGAGAACAAGAAGTCAACTAGGGGAGGTCTGCACCCACCAGAGATGAGAACCCACTCACACAGTGATGTAAAAAGTGAAATAGGAACTGAGCACATGGGAGCTGACAGAGGTGACCACCAGCATCAGGACGGTGTGGGTGGCTCTGGTCTCTGGAGGGCACTGGTGCCGGTTGCCAGGGTGTGATTGTGCTGCAGTCTCTGGTGGTGTCTGTGCAGGTGAAGCACCAGGGAGAGGCTGGACCACACCACAGGGACAATGAACATGACACAGGACATGACCACAAGATGGCAGCCTCAGGCACATCTGGATGCGGGGACAGAGATGGTCATTACTGAGATGCCCTCAGGAGCATCGGGCAGGAGGCAGAGAAAGTGCCCCCAGTTCCCTGTGGAGGAGCTGACTTAGAGTCACGTTGTCAGCCAGGGGCTCCAGTCACAGCATTTCCCACTGGGCCGCTTCCTTCAGCACCTTCTCTTCTCAGGGCTCTGTCCCCAAGTCCCTCACACTGTCATCCCTGTGATCCAGGCTGGTCTTCCTGTGGGTTCTAGTCCCACAGCTCTTGCTGCTCACACCTCAGGTCTGGTCTGCGGCTTTTCCTGAAACAGAGTGAGCCCCAATATCCCACATAAAAATCCTTTTATGTTTTGATTAGGAAATATTGGGGACCATTAAGCTCCAGAAATCACTCAGGGGAATAATCCCAGAGAGCGTGCATTCTGAGATTTTCATTATGCTGACCTGAGAGCCACTTTCTCAATCTTCTGCTTGACTTTACCCCACAACAGAGAAAACGCTGTGCCTTTCATATCATGTGACAACATATGAATGACCTTTCCCCACCCAGAAAAGAGTAAAAACAAAAAACCCTTAAACGTGCATTTAAGTCCTTTCCACAACCTGGGCCCTACCATGTCACAAATTGTGTGGTTCCAAATCTGTCTGAGATCAGGATGGCTTGTGGGCTTGTCAAAACCTACTGGAATTTCTCCACCAAAACTGCTGTCAGAATGTTGGGCATGATGTCCAAGTTAGTACCTTTTTCAATTTAAATTTTTTTTCTTTTTATCTTCCCATCAATATTTATCCCCACATTCCTTCTCCCACCTGCACCAATGCCTGCCCCCATAGTATTACATGTTGTCTGTGTCCATGATTTAAAATATATACATATTAAACATGTATATAGCTTATTCAGTAATATCCCTGATAATTCTAGCTCCCATCTGACACCATACATATTGATGATGATATTATTGACTGTTTTCCCTAAGCTGTACTTACACGCTAGTAATAAATGTTGAGGACAGATATGGGACAACCAGCACATTTTCACTGACTTGGGTGGAAGTTATGAGAGGAGCTAAGGAGGGTGAGTGTAGAAGTGGTGATGAGCACAGCAGGACAATCTCAGAACATCTTCAGGTAAGTTACTGATAAATGACAAACACCAAATGGTGACTGTCTGACAGGGACACCTGACTATCACCAACCTGGGTGGGTTATCAGAATGAATGTCCCCACTGTTGGGACAGGTGGGTACAGTGTCTAGCCTTTGTTCCTTCCTCTTCCACAGTCCTTGTTTCCTTGGTGGCCTCATCCATGCTCACAGCTTTAATGTCATTTTTGTAGCATCACCTCCAAGTCTACGTCTCCAGCCCAGACATTTCTCCTCAAGGTCCCCACACTCATCTGTCCAACCTGACACCTCACTGGTGTTTCTAACACACATCTCACCTTGACCTTCTCTTCAGCTGAAAGCTTGAAATGCCCACCCCTCCCCCTCACATGCTCCTGCCAGAGTCTTCCCCCTCTCTGCTGGTGTAACCCCATCTTTCTGCTGGCACAGTACAAATGTGGGGTGTCCTCCTTGACTCCTTTCCCACACCCCAGATTAAATCATTAGGAAATGCTGTGAAATCTATCTGCTAAATGCATTCAGTGTCCAGTCCCTTCCCACTGTTTCCACTGCTCACAGCCCAGTCAGAACACCCAGCACCTGCAGCCTGGAACCCTGGGAGCTTCCCCACACCTTTCCCTCCTGCCTTGCTGGTCCCTTGTCTCCTGATTTTGTTCTCAGCCCAGCATCCAGACTGACCCTGCGGCCTAAGGGCTCTCTCTTGGGGAGGAACTCTCAGTGGAATCCACTAAAGAATTCAACTCCTTGGCCATGTCCTTCCAGGACTCAGCATCTGCAGAATGAGAGCAGTGTCTGCAGTGGATTAAGAACAGTGGACCTTGGAACAGTTCCTGCTGTAACCAGGTGTCCTTACCGTCTGATTGGTCAGCTCTCTGACTCCACACAGACAATCCTGAGGTCTATAAAAGGGGCGCCTGGAAGCTTGGGGTGACTCCTAAGCAACAAAGAGGCACATGGTTAGAATCAGGGGACTCAACCAGCTATGTCCAAAGGGTCCAGAAGATCACACTCGGATGCATGGGAAGAAACCCTGAATAGTGCATGGAGCACAGGTGGTCACAGAGAACATCACTGGGGAGGCATGAGGTGCCCTTGTCCCATGGCATACAGTCTGTCCCTCCCGTGTTGGCTCCATACCTCATGGTAAGTGTGTGAACTTCAAGTGACTTAGAACAGCTTAACAAACATGGTGAAGTGTAGATAGAATAAAACCTACCAGAAACTGTACATCTCTGAGCTTTTAGTCTACATCACTTCTGAGATTATATATATATATTATATATATATATATATATAATATATATATATATATGTCACTAATATTAAAATAATGCAGGGATGTTGAAATGATTAAATAAGGTTCTGATGCTGGGTGTAGAAACAGCAGACAGGGATCCTTCAAGTCCCCAGGAGAGGCTGCAGTGACTATTTTTGCATGAACTCTCAGAGAAAGCAGCTCTGTCACACTGCATTAAAAGTTATTGTGAAAAATTCAGGTCAGTCTCAGAAGTGTCACATTCACCACAGTCACCACGTGCTCAGAATGTCCCACTCTGAGAGTCCTCAAAACACAGCTGTGTCCCTCAGTCCTAATGGCCCCCACTCTGTGCCCTGAGGGTCTCATCCTTAGGAGCTGTAGGAGACACATCAGAGCCCTGGGCAGTGTCCCTGCCTGGGGAAGACACAACAGCAGTTATGGGGTCAGGGAGCCTCCCTCAGAGACTCCAGCTCACACTCTCCCAAGGATCCCAGATGTCACCTCCCCAACACCCAGACTTACAGGCAGCTTGAGTGTTGTTCTCCTTGCCTCTGCCTGTGGGAAGGAAACATTCTGTGAGATGTCAGGGGGAAGGCTGGGTCCTGTGACCCGAAAGGAGCCCCACACTCCTGAAGCACAGCGAAGGTTCCGGAACTGCGACTGAACACTCATGTTAGGATCAGGAAACACAGGGAAAGTACATGTGTGGAGTTTGGACCTACTACCACTCTGGACAACTGTCCTCAGCAGGGACCTTCCCCTCTGACCTGGGGCAGGTGGGAATCAGTGCCCATCCCTAGAACTATTAGGTGATTAATGCGTCCTTCACTTTCCCACAGGCCTCACTGAAGAGTCAATATTAGGAAATAGGCCCCAGATGGACAAGTACTTGTGTGGGGACACGATGCCCATCAAGGAGGCAGAGCACACTTCCACCTGAGCTTGACCCCCGGAGGGACAGGAAACTCAGTCCCACTCCTTGCCCACCTGAGCTCTTCCTCCTCCACAGCACAGCTCCAGTGACCACAACTCCAAGGAGACCCAGGGCTGCACTGATGCCCACGACGGTGATGGTGGTCTGAGGAGGGGGGTCTGTGAGGGGAAGGTGAGAGGTCAACCTCAGGCCTGAGTCCTGAGCCTGCTCAGGGATGCCCTGAGGAGAGGCTCTGTGCCCATGTCCCCTCCTCACCCCATCTCAGGGTCAGGGGCTGGGGCAGCCCCTGGTGCTGCACATGGCATGTGTATCTCTGCTCCTCTCCAGGGGGCACGACCACAGCTGCCCATGTCTGGAAGGTCCCATCCCCCGCAGGCCTGGTCTCCACAAGCTCCATGTCCTGGGTCAGGTCCTCCCCTTCATGCTGCCAGGTCAGGGTGATGTCCACAGGGTAGAAGCCCAGGGCCCAGCACCTCAGGGTGACCTCATGGTCAGAGGTGGGGTGGTGGGTCACGTGTGTCTTTGGAGGGTCTGAGGGGAGACTGAGAAAATTCAGGAAATTTGCATGGTCATAGGACACTCCAGGAGCATTTATGTGACCACCTTAGAGTGGACGGGACAGTGGGGTGGGGGAAGGGAGAGCACCACCCAGACACCAGCCTGGACAGAGGCATCTGCGATATTCTCCTATTTTTGGAAAGTTCCAGAATCAGAGTGAGAACCTAGGGTGGGAGTAACCAGATCTCTTGTGGGGAGACATAGACTCAGGTGGAGTCTGAATGACTCAGACAAGCCCAAATCAGGCCTCCAGAGAAAGTCTCAGCCTGAGAACCAGGGAGAGTGTCCTGGTGCACCAGGTGCTGCAGGGTGTGAGGGAACCGCTGTGGGTGTTTCAGAGAGAGTCTGGGTCCCTTACTGTCCTTTAGAGAAAGCTGGGACCGCGGTGAGTCACGGAATAAGGTGACCCGGTGGACTCTTTCCTCTCCCAAGCAGGAGGGACATTCTGTCACTGCCCCATTTTCCTCCTCTCCTTGTAGGAAGCTGCCCAAGCCCACAGATCCCCTCCTCCAGGAGGCCCGGGTCCTGGTACCTGCTCGGAGCAGCGTCTCCTTCCCCTTTTGTAACCAGCGCAGGCACAAGTCCTCCACGTGGAACCTCCAGGAGTCTACATCAAGGTTCGGTATCAAATTGCGCCACGTGATCTCAGCTGAGGTGTCGGTCACTGTCAAGGAGCCCAGGTCCCGGTTCAGGGCGTAGTTGGTGCCGTCAGAGGCGACCTGAGTGTATCCGCGGAGGAAGCTCCAGTCCAGCTCCAGTCCGATCCCATGAGGCAGCCAGTCACTTCCTGGTGGGTGTGGGACACTGACCCCAAACAGGAGGTCGGACCCTCCCCTCTTAGTGCCTCCCACTTAGCCCTGCTCAGGGTACAGTAGCAAAGGGACCTGCAGTGATTAAACCTCAAGTGAATACAAATGATACGGGGTCAAAATCCCCACTGGCTCTTCTTTTTTGGGAGCGGATGGGCCCCACAGCCTCGTGCTGCCCCTCGGACCTGGTGACTTAGGTGAACCCACGATCGTCCGTGTGAGTGGGGGTCGTGCCTGGATCCGGGCGCACGTGGCTCACCATCCTCGCTCTGGTTGTAGTAGGCGCGCAGGTTGTTCAGGGCCGCTTGGAAAGTGTGTTCTTTACCATTGCAAACACATGTCTGCTCCTCCCACAAATGTGGATCCTCCTGCTCCACCAGCGGCTGCTACAGCCAGGGTAGCCGCGGCTCCAGCCCCGGGTTTAGCACGCCGCCGCTGTTTAACTGCCGCTGTTGAACTGCCCTGTCATCCACAAAGCCAACCGCGATGTACCGGTCCTTCCCGCTGCCCTGTCCGGACACGAAGGTGCTGGAAATTCTCAGGTTGTGGGGGCCTGCGGGCGGGGAGGACGCGTGTCCCAGGTCAGCTGTCGGCCGGGGAGGAGCAGGGGGCGCTGGAGACAGAAAGGGGGCGGGTGACTGAAGGGAGGGGCGGGGCCGAGGCCAGAGTCTTGCCAGGGGTCTGGGCCTGGGGTGGTGCAGACGCGCTGTCCCCTGCTCCTGCACCCATCCCGGTTCCCTGGCTTCTGTCTGGCAGAGGCTGTTCCCTCCTGACCCCGAACTCACAGGCCCAGGTCCGGGTCAGGGTCATGACCAGGGCCCCCGAGAGCAACAAGAGAAGGGTTCCAGAATCCATGATGAGTGCTGGGCGTCTGCCGGGGGGTGGGGGGGGTGTGGGGGGTGTGGAGGGGGTGTAGGGGGGTGGGGGGGGAGTTCCATTATTCCAGGGAGAATTTTACACCCGGAGCCACAGTGGCGCTGATTGGCTGGTCTGGAGTGAGACCAGCCAATGAGCGGAGTGAGTGGAGTGAGTGGAGTGAGTGGAGTGGGTGTTTCCACTGGAGTGAGTGGAAACACCCAATGGGAGTGAGAACTGAGAAAACGTCATGAGTATCCAGGCTGGAGTGTCCAGGAGATGCAGAAGGGAAACGGGGGCGAGAAGGGCCAACCCAATACTGAGCGAGTCCTTGCCCCAGACTGGGTCCTTGGGCTGAGACCCTGAGAGCCAGGCCTGGGGACCCAGGACTCTGTCCCGAGCCCTCCTGCACAGAGAACTCTGTCCCGCTGTCTCTGTGAGTCCCTGCCCACGGGCTGTTTTATTCAGCGACTCTCAAACATTTTGTATTCAAGACATCTATACAGTCTTAGAAAACACAATGTAACCCTAAAAATACATTTGTTTGTGTGGGTTATAGCTATCAACATTTACCATAAAAGGAATAAAAGAGTTTAAAACATTAATTCATTTAGAATAAAATTAATAACCTATAATGTTAACAGAAATAACTTTTTATGAAAAAATAACTATTTCCTAAATACACAAGGTAGTGAGAAGAGTCCATCACTTACATTTTATGTTTTTTGCAAGTCTCAGTGCTTGTCTGTATGAGTAGAAGTCCGCTGGATTTTCATATTTGCTTCTGCATTTAGCCTGTTATTTGTTTGCAGTATATGAAGAAATATACAGCCTCACACAGATATGTAGGAGGAGCATTTTTATTCCTTTTCAGGTAAGTGTGGATATTCATCTTGGATAGTTCACTAAAGCTACACAAGTGGTAGTTCCTGAAAAGCTCTTCGCGAAACGGAACCTGAAACTACACCATTGAGTATTTCCTATTTTGTTACATTACTTCAGTAGCTCTTGTACTGATGCAGGATTATTAAAAAATAATGCATTGTTTCAGTAAGTGATAGAGATCTCCCAGTGTTGGTGCATTTAATGACACATCATCAAAAATCACAACTGTTAACGTTACCGCAGATCCCACTGGAAATGGTTGTCAGCTCTGGAAAACTGTCTGGCTGCCATGGGGAGAAACACATTTGCCAGAACCCTGGTTTTCCCCTGAGAGCTTCCATTCCATCCAGACAACAAGTGCTGTCAGGTGTCAACTGCCCATTGACTCTCCTTGAGGGAGAAGCTCACGTTCATTTGAGAGAGTGTTTGCCAGTTCACCACACCTCAGTCATCAGAGGTTCTGTGTCTCTCATTCTCTTCAGTGAACTTGCTGTTCTTTGAAGAAGAGGCTGACTCAGCCCTCACAGGTCACTTTCCTGTGCTCATGACACTTGGGAATGAATGTAGCAGAAGTGTGTTTGTGCACTTTTCCGGTCATCATAGGAGATAATTTATCATTTTATTCTCCATTTTCATTAAGGACAGTGAAGAAATCAATCCATTCGTATAATGAATTTGAGCTATATTTATCTTTTTAAAATATGTTTTCATTTGTCAATTATAGCTGATGTACAATATTATACAGTTTCATGTGTACGACTCTGTGATTAACATTTGTATAAATTATGAACTGATCACCCAGATAAATGCAGTACCCACCTGATACCATATGTAGTTATTACAATATTATTGACTATATTCCCTGTGCTGCACTTTACCTGGTGACTATTTGGTAACTACCAAAGTGCATTTCTTAATCCATTAAACTTTTCACCCACTCCACTAAACCCCCTCCATTCTGACAACCATTAGTCTGTTCTCTGTATTTATGAGTCTGGTTCTGTTCTGCTTGATTACCTTATTTTTTAGATTCCACTTATAAGTGTAATCACCTGGCATTTGTCTTTGTCTGTCTGATGTTTTTCACTCAGCACCATACCCTCCATCCATGAGGTTGCCAATGGAGAGATTTTGGTTTTGTGTGTATGGCTTAGCCATATTTTGTTATATATATGCACCACCTCTTTATCAAATCATCTGTTAATGGACACTTAGGTTGGCTCCATATCTTGGCTTTCGTAAATAATGCTGCAGTGAACATATGAATGAGTATGTCTTTTTGGTCAAGTGTTTTGGGTTTCTTTAAATAAAATACCAAAAAGTGGAAATGATAGGCCTTTCTTTGTCTCTTATTATATTGCCTTTCTTTTAAGTCTATGTTGTCTCGTGTAAGTATTATCACTCCAGCTTTTTTATTTGTTCATTTCCATTTTCATGAAATATGTTTTCTTCATCCCTAGACTTTCATTCTGTGTTTGTTGATCTGAATTGGTCGTGTAATAGATAGCATATAAGAGGATTGTGTGTTTTTTTAATTTTATTTTAATCATTGTTCAAGTACAGTTTTCTCCCACTTACTCCCATTCCAGCCCACCCACCCAACCCTCCCCTCTTCCCCCCATTACCCCCCACCCCTAGTTTTTGTCCATGTGTCCTCCAAATTTGTTCTTGTAAACCCTACCCATTCCCCCCTGAAATTCCCTCTTCTCTCCCCTCTGGTCACTGTCAGTCTGTCCCCTATTTCAGTGTCTTTGGTTATATTTTGCTTGTTTCTTTGTTCTGTTGTTTAGGTTCCTGTTAAAGGTGATATCATGTGGTATATGTCTTTCACTGCCTGGCTTGTTTCGCTTAGCATAATGCTTTCCAGCTCCATCCATGCTGTTGTGAAGGGTAGGAGCTCCTTCTTTCTTTCTGCTGCATAGAATTCCATTGTGTAAATGTACCATAGTTTTTTGATCCATTCATTTACTGATGGGCATCTAGGTCACTTCCAGCACCTAGCTTTTGTAAATTGTGCTGCTATGAACATCGGGGTGCAAGATTGTGTTGTTTTTATTCAGTCACCCTAGGTCTTTTGATTGGAGCAATGAATTTATTTTCATTTAAAGTAACTTTTGATAGATATGTACTTATAGCCATTTTATTACTCATATTTTTTTTCTTTTCCTTTTTCTTCTTCTTCCTCTTCTCCTGGAAGACCCTTTAACATTTCTTACAATACTGGTTTGGTGGTGATAAACTCCTTTAGCTTTCTCATATCTGGGAAGTCCTTTATCTGTCCTTTCATTAAAAATGAAAGCTTTTCCCATGTCTTTTGGCCTGAGAAGTTTCTAGTGAGAAAATCAGGAGCTCCCTTGTAGATAACTAACTACGTTTATCTTGGTGCTTTTAAAATTCTTGCTTTGTCTTTAGTTTTTGGCATTTTAAGTATGATGTTTCTTGGTGTGGTCTTTTGGGGTTCATCTTGTTTGTGACTCTGCACTTCCTGGACTTATATGCCTACTTCCTTCACCAGTTTAGAGAATTTTTCCATCACTACATTTTTAAAAGTAGGGTTTCAATTCTTTGTTCTCTCTCTTCTCTTTCCCATACCCCTATGGTGTCAATGTGAGTAAGCTTGAAGTTTTTCCAGAGCCTTCTTATACTATTCTCATTTTTTTCTGTATTTTTTTCTTTTTGCTATTCTGCTTGGGTGTTTCCTGCTTCCTTATCTTCCCAATTTCTTATTTCATCTTATGCTTTAACTACTCTATTGTTGAGTCTGTGTAATGTATTTTTCAATTCAGTAATTGATTTTTTTACTTAAAACATTTTCTTTCTCCATTTTTATGTGTCCACTCTTTGTTGAAGTTAATACTAGTTTCATTTTACTCTTCCCCTAAGTTCATTGTGCATCCTTATAACCAGTGTTTTGAACTCTGTGTCTGGTAGAATGCTTGCTTCCTTTTTTTTTTTTTTTCAGTTCTTTTCCTGGAGTTCAATTTTGTTCTTTCATTAGGGACATGTTCCTGTGTCCCCTCTCGTAGGCAACCTTCCTGTGCTTGTTTCTGTGTTAAATAGAGCTGCTCCATCTCCTGGTTTTGGTAAAGTGTCCTTATGTAGTAGGTGTTCCAGAGGGCCCAGTGGTGCAGCATCCTTGGTAACACAACCCTGACATTCCAGGTTCATCCCTCCTTCTGTGCCGTGTGCACCCTCCTGTTATAGTTGAGTCATGATTGCTGTTGGCAATGGAAGGGATTTATCCACAGGCTGATCAGCTGTGAGGACTGGCTGTGGTCACCATGGAGGCTCTGGTACCCACTGAGTCAGTCCCTTGACTATGCTGCTGTTGACGTAGTGAGGAAGTGCTTTGCTGGTGTCTGAAGCTGTTCATCAGGTGTGCTGGTTCAGGGACTTCTTGGGAGCTGCAGGCCATGGTCAGCCATTACCTATGCCCTGCCCAGGGCCACCTGGTATGAGCTACAAAGCAATCCGAGGACGGCTGCTACTTGTGCTGGACCTGGAGGTGCCTCAGAGAAGCCAAGCTACAAACCAAGGCCAGCTGCCACTAGCACAGGCCCTCAGGCCCTGTAGCTGGAGATGAAGGGCATGCCTAGGCCAGATTCTCCTTTTGAGACATTTTAGGAAAATCTACAACCTGAGCCAAGAAGGGCTGTTTGTATGGAAATATCACTGAAAAGTGTCATGGGGGCCTGCAAGTTGAGTGTGGTGGGGTTCCAGGGTATCACCAGGGCAGGGAAAAGAGTGAGAGCTAGGTTATTGGAGACTCAGATCTGGTGTCCACCTGCCAGCTCTGAGTGGGAGAGGGCTCAGAAAAGGAGCAAAGGCCTCTGCCAGCTCTTCCATCTGGGGAGACAGCTGCCCCCTCAGCTCTCTGTGTGGTACAAGATAACTCAGTTGCTTCACCGTGTGTTCCTGGTGCCTTTTGAGCTGATAACGCAACACTTGAGCTCAGAGTAAGTCCGTGTGCATGCGGGTGTTTTCAGAGGAAGTGCCTGGGACTCCAGGAGCTTCCTTCTCACTCAGCCACAATCACCACTGGTTTTTTACAACTGGAAGTTGTGGAGACCTGTCTTCCTGGCACTGAAACCCTGGGTTGAGGAGCCTCACATAGG